CAAAATGCAGGCTAGACACAAATAAAAAAAAAATGCTTGCAATGCCTTACAGGAAAATAATTGGAACATTCAGGACAAATGTTCAGATAATGCACTATAAAATGCACTGGTCACACGAGTCCACTCCTCTCTTCATGATTTCAAATGTTTCCCCCCTAAGCAGACCCGCTCCACATGTAGCACCCGCCATACACTTTGAGTCATAACCCGACTGAGCACTGGGGCACATACAGCAAATAAATAAAAAAACAATGTATTACAAGTTGATCGACAGTGTATACCATTTTCACAGAGTATACCACAAAGAAACTGAAAGCATAGCGTTACAGCACTGTATTCTAAGAAAATTGGCCACATATTGTTGATCACAAAAAGAAAATATTAATAACACATCCGTAAAAGACATTGTTGGGCAAAATATCATTGTTGTTATTTTTAAGGCACCAATACTTACATTGAGACATGGAGCTCTTTTTTTAGCTCCATGATTGAGATTAGGAATTCCCAAGCCCGTTACTCAGCATGCAGCTATGACAATCACGGTTATTAAAAAAGACAATTTAGTAACCGTGTGACAATGTACATGTATATGTTTTAAGGAAGCTTAGATTAACAGGAGAATATGATCGTGTATTTTTCCTGTTGTTATTTGCTCAGGTAAATAAGTTACGGACATTCCCATGAATTTCTAAAAATTACGTGACGTATACAGCGCGTGTAAAATATATTGTTCGTTTACGCGGAATTCAAGCACACGCTGTGCGACACCGGTGAAATTTCTGTACGTATACCACGTATTTACACGCACATTGGTAGCGGCGTTACGACAATCAATGATTTAAGGTGCACTGGCAAAGTTGCGGTGACGCGAGAATTTAACCCAATGTATTCTCAATGATTTTAACGTATAACTATATAAATGTACGGGGTATTTGTTCAGGAAGCTGGGATTTACTAAATTACACACACTCTGTACCCTTATTTGCTCAAGAGATCATTGTGAAACAATCGAAAAGAAACAACATTACATACAAGTCGCAAATTCAGTAAACGATGAGCGGTTATCATGCTCGCTATTCGCGGATATATGTGAGAACGCTTAGACAGTAAATTACAGCTGTCTCAAGCTAACGTGCTTTTCATTGCGTGATCGATCAACAACACAAACCTAATTGCATAGTATTGTTCATTGGAAAGAAATAAACACTTTTATTGAAAAAAAAACAGGTGATAACATGCATCAACTTGTAAATGAACTAGGCGTTGTCCTGACGCATTGACAATACACTTTCTATATAATATCATTGCTATTGTTAGCACCCAATCAACTGGTGATCGGGTCAAATGCTCTAATCTGGATAACAACAACGTTGTGCTCTATAAATAATGACATCACTACTGTAACATTAATAAAATTACATTCGGACAGAATGTACGCCACCTAAAGACCACGACCAAATTCATCCTTCACCGCACAATGTGTGATCAAATATTTCCGGCAAGTTGCTGCAATAAAAAGCACTGTTTCATTACAACTGCCCCAAATAGCGCTATGCTGCCACGCGACTCTGTCAGTTTTACTGGGGCTGGTTATCCACTCATGTGTGAGGCCACAGACGCACGTATTGACGCTTTGTTTCAAAGTGTGATACCCAATTATACAACACCGCCGATTATGGAGTAGGAGATTGCTTAAAAAAAGAAAATAATTTATTTATTTATGTATATTTCATTGAAAGCACCATATATACGTCATATTTGTTGTGGGCGACAACCGATGTGACATACTTTGTTTGTTTCCTCGAGGTTTATATTTTTGTAGTGCCATGCATATGTATTTTTCAGTGATCTTTGTTGTTGTTTGTACTACGTATGTAGTCATTTGTGTGTATTCATTTTACATCCAGTGTGTATTTATTTTACGTCATGTGTGTATTCGTTTTACATCATGGGTGTATTCATTTTACATCCTGTGTGTATTCATTTTACAACATGGCTGTATTTATTTTACATCATGTGTGTATTCATTTTACATCATTTGTGTATTCATTTTACATCATGTGTGTATTCATTTTACATCATGTGTGTATTCATTTTACATCATGTGTGTATTCATTTTACATCATTTGTGTATTCATTCTACATCATGTGTGTATTAATTTTACATCATATGTCTATACATTTTACATCATTTGTGTATTTATTTTACATTATGTGTGTATTCATTTTACATCATGTGTGTATTCATTTTACATCATATGTCTATTCATTTTACACCATTTGTGTATTCATTTTAGAACATGTGTGTATCCATTTTACACCATGTGTGTATTTATTTTACACCATGTGTGTATTTATTTTACATAATGTGTGTATTCATTTTACATCATGTGTGTATTCATTTTACATCATTTGTGTATTCATTTTACACCATGTGTGTATTTATTTTACACCATGTGTGTATCCATTTTACACAATGTGTGTATCCATTTTACACCATGTGTGTATTCATTTTACATCATGTGTGTATTCATTACACACAATGTGTGTGTATTCAATTTACATCATGTGTGTATTCATTTTACGTCATGTGTGTATTTATTTTACATAAAATGTGTGTATTCATTTTACATCATGTGTGTATTCATTTTACATCATATGTCTATTCATTTTACATCATTTGTGTATTCATTTTAGAACATATGTGTATCCATTTTACACCATGTGTGTATTTATTTTACACCATGTGTGTATTTATTTTACATAATGTGTGTATTCATTTTACATCATGTGTGTATTCATTTTACATGATTTGTGTATTCATTTTACACCATGCGTGTATTTATTTTACACCATGTGTGTATCCATTTTACACAATGTGTGTATCCATTTTACACCATGTGTGTATTCATTTTACATCATGTGTGTATTCATTACACACAATGTGTGTATTCATTTTACATCATGCGTGTATTCATTTTACATCATGTATGTTTTCATTTTACATCCTGTGTGTATTAATTTCACACAATGAGTGTATTCATTTTACAACATGGCTGTATTTATTTTACAACATGTGTGTTTTAAAATTAAAGTTTCGAATAAAAAATTGTTTCATCGATCGACCTAAGAATGGGTTCAAAATCAAGCTCAACTTTCGCATATTGTCACTAACTAATTGAACATTTTCGAAAATTGTTGTCGTTCGTTAATACATCTAGCGTTCCCCACCGGCTGAGGGCAGTATTACTATATCGACGAGTTGAATTGATCAATATGTTAACGCACCGTTGATACATTCCGGACGGAATGCCATTTGAGAGTAAAAAACAGAAGAAGTTAAAATTTAATTCAAATTTTAATTGCATCGTGACTGATAGTACAATTATCTGTGTTTTTTTTTTTAAATACAGCTACGTTTTGTTCATTGGCCCTTTCAAATTACGGACCCATGATAACAGCTCTAAAATAAATGGTATATCTTGAGTTTTGGTCTCAAAATGTAAATATAATTATTAATACTGAATCAGTAATCATTAGTAATCCAACATATTAGAAAATGGCCGCCGGGATCTCCTTGAGAGTGTGAAAATCACGTGACTTGTTTTTGCTTTCAAATAGTGTCCCATTCTGGCGCCATCTCGTCCGCAATTTGCGATTGCGATCAGTTAAAGACATTTCATTCCATTTACCCCGAACTCAAGAAAAAAACTCTAATCTTCCTTCCCAAAATTCAACTGTATATGTCCCTCTATAGATAACTGTAGCTGCGATCAAGGAAGGTATGTACAATTACTTTGGGTGAGATAAAGGGTAAGGGGTAGGGTTAAAGCTTGGATTAGGTATGGGGTACAGTGGACAATTTTAAACATTGATAAATGGGCTACATGCGGACGTGTATGAAGCTGGAAAACCCTAACCTGTCGAATGCTGTAGAATAGTTTATTTTAGCTGGAATTAATTTTCGCTAAAAAGATATTTTGGGTGTTTTTATGGAATCTATTTTCACTGGTTTTTGGCGAGTTGAATGTGAAACATAGGAAAAAAAGTTATATTTGCTGGATTTTATTTTCACTGAATCATTCCTTCAGCGAAAATAGCGAAATTTAATTCAATGCGAAAATAAAGTATTTTACAGTAGTGAACCCCGGTGAAGCTAGCAAACATCGGCGTAATTATCGGAAATGCAGGTCAAATTAAACAACTATTGTTGTCAAATATTCTCAACAATAAGTAGATCATAAAAAAATGTTTTTACATTGCGGATAATCTGTCAATGTCTCCCTATTTGTTATGATGAGCTTATTTTGTCATTTTGGACGAGAGCTGTTCACTGATTTATGTACAGTAGGTCATAACAGAAGAGATAGAGTATCAGCGAACGTCAACATCCAATCGTGTCGTCATGGCTTCGGTTCACATATGACTCATGTCAACCAGCATTACAAACAAGTGATATCAAAGAAATACACACACCACATACACAATCATAGCAGATTTCCTTAAAGGTGCGATACAGACAAAACATATGTTTTTTTTTTTTTTAATATTTTTGTTTGATACTATATAATGAAGATCAAATAAGATTACGATTTATCGGAAAATCAAAATTGTAAACCACTAATACGCACGCGCAGCGATTGTTCCTGTGCGTACCGAGACAACCGAGTCTGCCGCTACTGTGTAACCCCGTCTACCATCTTTCGGAATGACAACATGGCGGGGCAACAACCTGTTCATTCATACACGCCCCATAACATGTGATCATGACAGTTCAAGTTCACCGTGCTGTGTTCAATTTCGTAACAAGGTCAACATCTAGTAAACATCGGTGAAAGAACTCAGCAATTCACTCTCCTAGGATCGCTTGTATATCCATGATAAAGTCGTCCAAATTTGCATACCAGAATAGACGTCTCGTCATAGTCACGTGATCAAGCACCGGGACAAAAAGTCACACGGTCACCGGCATATTGACAAATACGAGTACGCAGGCCGTCGGTGATACTAACAGTGTCGGAGCCGTCGGTAAGGTGAGTACAATTTGATATCGCTGTTTTCTTCATCATGAACACGAAGTAACTATAAAAGGTTTTTTTTTTGTTTCGTCCAGAAACAAAAATAAATTTGCCGATTGAAGCGCGATGTGTACAGAATTTTGGCCCGCGCTCTCTTGACTTGTTTGTATAACTTTGTTTGTCGACAGTTTCGTCTAGTTGAGGATTGTTTGAAGATTTTTTGTTTATTCCAGTTCACTTTTTCTGAATTTTGCGAAAAAGTGTCGAAATGGGGTGCTGATCGTTTTGAATAAGAAAAAAAAATCATCGCAACATGTTTTGTATTCACCGAAATACTGGTACATATGAAAAGGGCGGTAACGATACTTCAACAAGTAACAACTTCAAACTAAATTATACCATGGTTTTTCGTGAAAAAAAAGTAAAAACTTTATTTTTAATTGTCCGAAATAGTTAATTTACTGTGACAGCATGCGGCAAGGAAAACAAGTAGCCATACTTTGGAAGGGAATCTAAAAAAAAAAGGTTTTCAAGATAATAAGCTTACTGGTATTTTGCCATTTTGGACGGGAACTGTTCACCGATTTTACCGATGAAAATTAACAGATAATCAGACCACCCTAGAGTTGGTGACAAAGTTGTTTATCGGTTGATACTGTATGCAAATCAGTGCAGGTCTAGGCCAGGTTCACTGACGTCTACACAATATCTATTTGTGACTCACGTAAGGCCAACTATTGGTACAACCAGTGTATTTAGTAAATGTAGCGTGTGTGTTCAGCTAGGCATGACAGAATGTAGTCAAAAATTGGTCAGGCTTGAGAACAGGTCTGCGCCATCATTGCATGCAAATTAAAGGGATTAACGCCCTTTCGTACGCTTTTGTTCACGTGCAGGCGTATTTCTATTGTGTGGTTTAAAAATAACAAAGGCATTATCTCTCGTCGTTAGTGACGGTTGTGTAATAATAGGGCGTGGGTGTACTGATTAGCCCTTTGTTTCAAAACATCTTCATTATTCTGCGAAACAAACAAATCGTTTCACAAAGTGAATCTTGCGGGTGAAAAGTTTTGCGCCTTATCATCCTTGGTTGAATGGTTCTGTGTATACTGATTCGCCAGACACTGCGGGATATTTGTACATTCAATGAGGAACTGGAATGAGCCTGTTCATCTAAATCCACACTTTTCATCCAACGAGATCAATTTGTTTTAATGAACAGATGCTGGAAATAACAATCAACATGATTCGCTAGCCAATTTGACCAAGGAAGGTACCTTCCGTGATTTGACTACGAATCTCCACTTTAGCTCCATTTATATGATTTAAAGTTGAAAGGAGAAACTAGTCGATAAGCCGCTCCGACTGAAAATGGGAGCAGCTTCTCATATTGAAGTCTATGCCCTTCAATAATTCTGAAATGTGTCATCTGTGACCTACATTTTCAAAGTTTCCCCCGTCATACTTTCCCTGTCCCGGAAGACCCTGGCAGACCATAGCGATAACATGGAGTCCGCACCAAACCCCGCTCTCCATGTTAATATTGTGTGAGCGCGCATAAATTTACTGTTAAACACTTTAAAATAGCGACTCCCCAATTTAGAAAATTTGGCAACAATTTTCAAAAGTATACCGTAACTATAACAAGAAGAATTAATGTCGTATTGCGTATTAACTGATAAAAATTAACGATAATAATAATACAAATTGGCGAAAGCGTGTCCGGGTAGCGATAATTTTGGACGGGGTTTTGTCCCGATAAGTTTTCTCTCTGACACGCGATCCTATTGGAGTTTCGACAAACTCTCCCTGTGTTCCACCTGCCCACGTTGAATTTCGCGAAAGTTGCGCCAAGTACAATTTGCAAAAATCACGAACTCTTTGTTATAATTATAAACTACTAGTATAAATTCCGCGTTCTTTAAAGTTGCAACTCCCCTCCATCGTCGATAAAGTGGTCATAATGAACTTTTTTCTATCATGACGAACAGTAGAAATGTGGAAAAATCACATGTATGGCCTCGTGAATAAGCTCCATCTAAGAAAAAGAAAAAAAAAACACCAACCGATAGCGGTGGTAACACATATCCAGTATTCGGGGATGTTATAAAGAAATCGTTAGTTACGTCACATCCGGTCACAGAAAGGTTACAGAGGCAAACATGGTATCATTTGGCAACAAGTAACTAATATACACGGGACTGTAACCAGGGTTGCAATACAATGCGTTGCCGGGGAACTGTTATAATTTTCGAGTGAGCCGCGGAGTTCTTTTTCGTTACCTCCCCGGCTTTGGTGAACCTGAAGGGGAGATTCATCTCAAGCACAAAGGGTAACCTAGGTAGTATGGTAGTTGTAAAAAAATCAAGCACTGCGGAAAACGGTGTTTACAAATACAAGCTCTGAACACAGCTTGCTTTTGTATCATATTTTGAAACGTGCAACGCCCATCCGACGTATACAAATAATTCGTTATATAAACGATGTTGATTTTTAGTTCCGAAGTTCTAACAGCTTTAAGTAGTTCGTAATTTCCGAGAACATATTACGAGCTCAGCGTAACAACCTACAGAGCGCGGAACTGGGGACTTACGCCCCCAACGTTATATAAGTTGTAGTCACGTTAGTGTAAATAGAAAATGCCCGTCGGGATCTCGTTGAGAGCGAGAGAGCTCTGTGACTTTCGTCTGTCCCTCAAATAGTGTTCCATACAGCTAAAGAAGATAACATCTACATGTAAGTTGACCGTCATGCGTCACGGTGGTATTGAGTCATCTGTCCGGTTCTACATTTGTGAGCGGCGGTTTGTGTAGATAACCAATCCATCAACTAGACTGGATTCCCATACATCGTCGCTGATTCCTCCATGGGTGTCCATGGTCAACTTGTGGTGTGTCTTGTAAACGTTCCAAACACATATACACCGCTGAGGGCAGCGTACACCTACAACGCGAAAGTTTAATTTGCATTATAGTTACCAGTGACCGTATTTATACTTGTAGGTATATAGAAAAACCTCTATTCGAAAGTATCGTAGTTAGGGTAGCTGTTTGCCGGTAGCACATATAAGATTCTATCCACCCTCGTTACAGCGTGGTTTCATGATTTTATGACCATGCTCCCAAACCCCAAATAAAAAAAAGTACCCGAACTACTTTTCGCAACAAAATAGGTCAGACATGAGAATTAATAATGGGCAATCCTGATGATGATGTTTCTGAATGCTTAAAGAGGCACATTTACAATGGATAACAAAAGATAGATTAACTTTGTAAACAACATAAACAATAGTGTCCCATGATTCTTTGGTGCAATCCATGGGATTGAGCGGTTCCCCTTTAAACCTAGTTTTAAAATTCTCCAACTAACCATTTTTACGTTTCCAAATAAATATTTTTGTAACAATTTTGAAACACTTGACATAACTTTGATTACGTGTTCGTTCATATCTCAGTCTACTAAGGTTAAGTCCTAAAACAAACGTGGTACTTATAGTCTGGCGAAAGGAAAATCCACGTTGCTGGTCTTTTCTTCAGTAGTCTGAGCTCGTATCCAATAAAATGGTACATCAGTGAACGACTTCAATAACGTCATGCTACATCGCACAAAAAAGTTGTTTTCGGCGAGATACGACCATCAAAGAAGCTACGGACACACGTTCTCTTTTGTGTCTCAACACACTATAGCGCATCGCGTACTGTATTTAGTTCAAACATTTATGAATGAATCTATTTATAACTCTCAGTTTAAATGCGAGTAGGTTTAGTGAATCACCTGTCACTGAGTTGAACGCCTACTACGTCAGTTTAAAAGAAAAACTAAGACAAACATGACTGCAATTCGACTCTGCCTGGGGCGTGATCGTCTCACGTTATCACGTGTGTCTTTTATTTCTTAGTATATTCGATTTACGAGAACTCACTACATTGTCGGCGTTTTGTACATTTCACGTTCCCGCATATAACCGTTGCTGTTAGCAACAATTGGGTGAATACACAGTATTCTCTTATGAACGGGAATTTTCCGACACTGTATATGATATTTTTTTCATAGACTCCGTACTCCTTGCCCGTATTACCCAGCATGCATCATCACGTGGTGAAAATGACATGGTGTCAGAAAAATATTCGAGTTGTATTAAAACTTGATATAAAGGGGAAGCTGTCAATCCCCGGGAGTATGTCAGAGAATCATGGTACACTATTGTTTTAGTTGTTTTCGCTAATAATCTGACTTTTGTTTTCCGTTGTAATGCTAATCCAGTAAGTCAGTTTGCTTTTAAATTAGAATTAACTGGAATAGCTCTTCAACTTAGGCTCCTCCTCCATGATTTAGCCATGAACTAGAAAACGAATGAGTAACAGAGTGTATTTTATTACGGCGGAATGACACGGTACAGTACACTCGTAAAGCGGTTGGCGCACCGATAAACGACCAACCAACCATCCGTTCATTTTTTGCGTTTGTAACAGAAACTCAATGCAAACATACCGATTTACTAGTAAATCATGTGGCTCGCGTTTACAATAAAGAGAAAAAAGGCAAGCACGTTTTCATTACTTAGCACACATCGCCTTGGATTTTTTTTCCGTTAAAACAACTTTCATTCATTGCCGGATATCAGCGATAATAGGGAGAAATATTAAACAACACAACTACTTATATCGAAAAGATACCCGAATCGTGCCACCCACACGTCCCTCACCCGAGATCACATAATATATATAGACTCATGTTGTCCAACAACTTCCTGTTACTGTAAACTCAAAAGAAATAGACTACACACGTGTACGTGCTACAGCCGGAAACGAGTTTGGTTTAAATTCGGGAAAGTTCGGTCCCGGACCACGTGTTTGCCTCTGAAAGTGTTAGAGTGATGTTCGGGATATACCGTAGTCGTACTGGATTACCATCGTGTTAAAACCACGCGGTGTTGGCGTAGTCCCGTAGTTCTCGGACGGTCGGCCGGTCGGTGAGCAGTATCCAAGAAGAAAGGGCCCTGATCCAACACGTGGTTGTAGGTCGTAACGTGAGTACACATTTCTGACAACTGCAGACATGACTTACGATAAATTGAATCTTCTGCCACGGTTGAACACATGATGGTAGTACTCATACACGCGAAGAAAGCACATGCATTTTTGTAGTATTTCGTTACGACATCTATTGGTTAACTTTAAGTTTATTGGCGCTTAGATTGTCTTGGTATAACTAGTAAGATAGTCGGGATTGGAAACAAGGAAGGGGGCCTGCTCCGCATCGCGAACATTGCGTAGTGTGAACACACTTAATGTGCAAAAGCACTGGCGTACAGACTCGACATGTCTCGCGGAACCAAATTTCCCAGAAACAAGCTTCAGGTTATAGTTTAATTATTATGAATAATTATGTCCAGTTATGCAATCGATTTGCAGCTCATTTGAATATTAAATTGTCAGCTAGTCCCGAGTTTACAAGCTACTCCCGCCTTCTAATTTCAAGAATGCAATTTGTTGAAATAATAAAGCTAAGAAATGGTTTGAAACTCAAGTTATTTTTTTTTTCTCTGAGAGGCGAGGTTGTAATCTATTAAGTGTATTTAATGTCTTTAAAAGTATGTGTTATCGTGACATACCCCCACCTCCCCGAGCAGATAAAAAAATGACAAAGATATGTAGTCTGATGGTTACAGACAATTTTTGCATACTAGTATTAAACCGCCGGAAATAGACACAATTGTGCCATAGACGCAAACGTTGGGGTCACATTATCGTCACTTTTCACCAAAAAAATCTCAACCGAGTTTAATACTATCGAAAACCGGACCATCGTTTGGAGAATTAATAGTTCTTTCTCTGGTTCGATACACGTATGGACCATATACACGTATTTCTATGGTCTATGGGTGAGCAACAGTTCCTCCATAGGTTGTTGCGTGCCCGATCTAGAGAGACCGTGGTTGTACGGAGCATTATCATATGCCATGTGCGTGTAGGAATACGCTATTCCGACGGGACATAGCAGCATATGTCAAAATATCTGGAACCTAGCGTTCCAAGGTGAAAGTCACGGCGACCTTACATGTCCTCGAGTCTTATTGTTAATGTTGAATCAACTGTATTTCCCACCAATTAAATACTATATAATTGAAGACCCTAGTTGACCATGGCCTGCGACATAATTTCGTTTCCGTTATTAGATATCTGTGTATTGATCATTTCACGCATGTTTATAAACGCATTGTGATCGGTCAAGTATTGAAATTCAATATGGCGACAACTCAAGCGCCGTTGTTAGTAGTTAAGTGGACCGTATGTAATTAAAACTTGCGCTCTGCAAACGTAATATATTCGTTTAGACAGGGGAGATGACGGTTCTACTTACTGCGCGCAAAAAGCTTTTTGCGTTGTTTTCAGTGCTTGTTCACATTTGCAAATTTGCCTTTAGCGGGAGGGGATGATATTGAATGTTAAGTAGAGAGTTTAGGTTTGCTATAAGCGTCACACGTTTACCGTGCCTCAACATCACCGGCACATTGAGTGACGGGACATGGCGTTGCCACGGTGCTGGCGACACAGGTCAAGATTATCCCAAAGATAGCGACAGGAAACCGGTATAAATACTGAATGGCGATTATACGAACAACAACAACACCAGGTGGTCGTCGCAGTAAATCAATTGATATCATAGTGGCGGCAGTATCCATGTGTGTGCGTGACTTGAAAACGTCGGCTTTGTATCACTGCGAATTTCATCCCCGTCAATGCTGACCGCAACTGCTAGTATTTGTGAGGGACGGTATCTGTAAATGAATTGTACGTACGGGCGGGTTGTTTCAAGTCTCATCGTAGTTTTTGAAAATTAAATACTGTAAAATACTTTATTTTAGCTGGAATTAATTTTCGCTAAATTTTCACTTTTTGGGTGTTTTGTATGGAATTTACGTTCACGGATTTTGGACAAGTTGAATTTAAAATACGGGAAAAAACGTATATTCGCGGGATTTTATTTTCACTGAATCATTCCTCCAGCGAAAATAGCGAAAATTAATTTCAAGCGAAAATAAAGTATTTTACAGTAATTTGAAATGTTGGAGTTAGTATTTTCTTGAAAATTTTATGCGCGATGTTTCTTGTGTGACATTTCTTCATGAAGACCCATGGTTTTTTGGGGCAATCAATGTTCGCTTTTGGAGCACTCCCTGTGTTAATCAGAAAAAAAACGAACTCCTTCTTAAACCACTTAATGTCGATTCGTCGTTAACATCCAATGTATTATTAGACGTTTCATCCACTTACAAAAACCGACTGTAATCGGTTTTTCACAAACAAAATTATAAATATAATAGGAATAATCCATAATATAATGTAATGTATTCATATGCACGTCAATTTTAATTTTTATATTCACCGATTACACAAAATCATTACTGAAAAAAAAAACAGAAACAATTTGCAATCTATTTGTCTTGAAATATGAAGCTGACTAAAATTACAAACTGCGCAGTGTGTTCCGTCAGCTCATATATAAACAATAATTTTAATAAACATGATTATTGTGCATAAAAACGAAAGAATTTCACAATGTAAAACATTGTTTACGGTAGTGTTCAGCACAGTGTGAATTGTCCGCCGGAGGCCATGATAACAAGGTCCCATATTAGTAATAGATTAGGACCATTTTCCACTACATCGATATCAAGTTTCAATTGATTGTTTAACTGCACCCAATTATACACAATAATCAGTTTTGTTTTATCCGTCTAAAAAATCCTATGCGACAAACCTGGGGCGACAAATACAAAGCATGTCAAACAATATGACATTATAATTATGGCGACTTCATAGGCAAAACATAATCCCCAAATTTCTATATAAAAAAAAACTAATCTCAAAGTTTTGATGCTACATTTTCCATTCAGTTTCTTTGCGTACTATTCATATTTTTTTTTACGCGCAGACTATTCAATGTTCTAAGCGTGGGAGTATAGTAGACGCCGCTTCATTGAAAGCACCGGTGGGATCAACAAACCCTGAACCTAATCAAACAATACCCCCCACCTTCAACATAAATGAAGATTATTTGCATCCATTCCAGTGGAATACAAGTACTTCTAACCGCAACATTTTCGGAATTTTCCCGTTGACCTACACAAGAAACGTCTGCTGGGACCACTCACGTTGTACCCTCGTTCCAGAAATAAACTTTTGAGGAGTATTTCAATTCATATGACCACGCTCAGCCTCTTCAGCGCAGCATTGTTTAATTTTTTTTAACTGTTAACGTCTTCTTTTTTACAGTTTCGCCAACTATGGTTAGATGCATGGAGTGTCTGTGTGTATGTTTGGCGGTAGCAGTTTTCACCACCGATGTAATGGCATGGGATAAATTGTGCGGCAGAACACTAGTCGATGTTTTGGCGCTAATTTGCAACGGACGAGGGTACAACAGCGGAAGTCCTAAGAAAAAGGTCAAGAGAGAATCTCGTGAGTTCAGTGTCGATTATTCAACCATTACACAGACTAACGATCGGATGAGACCGCCTGGTCAATACTGCATTCGTAAAACATGCCCAGAACACAATGATAATTACTGGTTAACCTCGGTACTTATTTGTTTGTATCCATAACGCTATGCATATTGAACATTACATCTGGATATTTGTGTATGGAACGGAGGAGGAGAGTACAGTGTCGAAGTAGCTTGGTTAAATTCGCCATCACACACGCTTACCCATAGTCACGACCTCTTCGCGACGCATGCTAATTATTACAAAGATTCGTGATAAAATGCGATTTCGTTTCATAATTTTAGAATTTGTTAGTATGATATATGTCTGACATTTCATTCGTGATGGAAATAACGTTTTTCTTTGTTTTTTACGAAAATTCATACTATAAAGTATTTATAAAGTTTCAACAAACAAACTTATCGATAGTCAAAAATACATTGCATCTTATTGCCGAGATCTTATTGCATCTTATTCTATCAAGGGCTCTAGATCTAATTCGTGATGAATATTTATGAATATTTTAATCATGGGTCCAAAACCAGGCCCTGTTTTGCATACGATTAGAAAAGTAGTGTGACAGAGAGGAATACCCAACTTTCGTTCTTTTGAGACGCGAACCTGACACGGATAGGTCAAAACAATGTCGTTCTGTTTGGTTGTGTAGTTTTCCCAAAACCAATTCATCAATTAATTCACCAACCTTTCTTTGTTATCGATTGAAATTCTAAAGATCAAAATCAAAACAAATCAAGCGACGATCATGTCACCACTAAAGGTGTATTGCAACTACTAGATGTGTTCATATTTCAAACACAAACTCACACTTTCTCTTGCCTCGTTTTAGCGTTTCGAAGCGGAATGGAAGCCAACGATTTCTTCGGGAATATATCATCCAAGGAAAAGCGCCGCCAACGACGACGTTCGGGTTCTGGTAAGATTGTCGATGAATGCTGTCACCAAGCTTGCGACTACACGACCCTGGAAAGTTACTGCGCTCCGCTACCTGAAGGCGTTGTTGCAGACGATTCGCTTAAACGATTTTTATCTCAAAGTTTTGGCAATGACTTCAAAGACACGGCGAACGAAGATAAATTGGAAATCGTGACTGTAGTGAGACCCAGTCACGATGAAATGGACGGTACCGAGACGAGAATAGAAGATAATGAACACGTCACTCCTCCGACAAAGCCCGATGTAATTACGGAAACTAGTTCGTTAATCCTCGACGATATTAATGTGAATAAACAAATTATATCATCGAATACATCTGTGGAGGTCAAATCAAAGGCAGGCAACACAAAACCGAAGCGTGAAAAAAAGGATCGAGACAACAGTTCTTCAAAAAAACGTTCACATCCAAAGCCTAAAAAATCAAGAAAAAAGCAGCGGTTGCAGCGCATACGAAAAAAAGCTCGAGGCACCCGAAAAACTAAATTACGTCACGTCAAAGTGAAATCAAAATCAACACCTATACAACAGATTGAGGTAAGGAGCCGTTTTTTTTAATAGAATTCTCACATATATACCGCGTTTAATAAATAAATGCGAGGGAGTCGTCGCCTGCGCATGCGGCAAACGGCTCGTTGTTCACAAACAAGCGTCTACCCATAAGCCTTTGTGCTTTAGCGTACGTTGTTATCAATTCCCGCGCATGCTTAATACTATTTCCAAGCAGCTATACCACCCCCCCCCACAACTAAACAAACAAATTCAACTCAACCAACCGACCAATCACACACCAAGTATGTTAAAGGGCGGCAGTCGTGGCGCCGCGTCCTGTTCGATATGGGACTCATAGCGACGTATACAAAGTGTGTAAAATACATTGTTTATTTACATGAAATTCGAGCACGCGCTGCGCGACGACCACCGCGCTTTAAGACCATTTTCGCTTCAAGCATTTAAGGGCTTGCCAATATTAGGTTGGAGGTGGTTCGTATTCCGAGCAAATCATATTTATCCGAAATTGTGTTATTTTTAGTCTACGTTTAACAATATTAACAAATGTTTTTTTTTTTTGTTTTTTTTTTTTGTTTTTTTTTTTTACAGACGACAACGACTATGAAACCATTCTTCGACGTGGATACAGACATTATATTTTATAGATTCGTAAATAAAACATGGCGAGTGATAGAAGAGCCTGAAATAATGGTTGGTGGTAAATCAGAATCGTCACGAGAGTCTGATATTGATTCAAGCATCTCGCACAATTCACGCGAGTCACACGAACCCTCACGCGAGATTGACACGACAGATTGTGACTCAGTTTGATGGTAAAATCATGCATCTCACGCGATACACTGAACTCATCACCACGTGACATTGGTCGCAGGGAAATGGCGCATGCGTATAATTCTATGCGCGCGCACCTCCGACTAAGCCACCATCTTTCCGACGGAAGTGAAGATACATCACAGCTTTCCGCACAGGGACTGTTCCGCAGAGTGATGTCAGAAGCAAACCACGCCACCTTACGGCGACTACATGAACACGCTTACCTGTCTTTAACATCTTGTGTGGTTTGGATATAGTGGTGTCGTCACAACAGAAGGAGTTTATCGAGTTTGACTGATTGTTTTATTTTTAATTATTTATTTTTATTTATAAATATAGTTTCGATTTATTGAGTTTTCCGTGTGTGTTATTACATACAGATAAGCGCACACCAGTTTTTTTTTTTTTTTTTTTCAGTGACATTGTACTGTATTCAAGTTCCAAAGATAATTTTTCCTTACCGATTGCTTCTAGGAATAGTGTTTAAAGGGGGAGGTCGTCGCGCCGCGCATGTGCGACATTTAATGTTGATAAACATTGATTTTCCAACAATACAATGCGTCTTTCTAATGAAACGTACGAGTTTTGACGTGGGGGCAACGTGCGCTAATAACCACCGGTGACTCCTTCGATACCTTGCAATTACCAATTACCTAGGTAAAGCTTTGGTACTCATTGGTCCGCGCAACAGTCAAAGTCACCATTTTTGTTCATATGAGTCCCATATCTGACACATACGTAGTGCGATGACCACCGCCCTATGAGCTAACCCCACTAATTACGACTACAATTGGCATTGGAGTACACTCATGCAGCAAAGGATCAATACAGTCGAAAAGATGAATTCGGTGGCAAAGGTAGCATCTTTTTCCGAATGACAATTGCTTCAGAGGTATCTTTAAGTTTATTTGCGGTGATACATATAAATAAAAATTGTTTTATGTGCTGTTATTTATGTATATATATCCGAATAAATGAGCTATTAAATCGTAATACCAACTGTTGACATACCACACTACTTAATAACGAGATACAATACAATGAACGAGTCTCAAAGTTAGGGTTATGGGCAGAAAATTGGCGTAATAATGACTGTACATTCTTTACTATTCAAAAAAAATACACAGGGCTAAAATAACTAGGTGTACCAAGCAAATTTGAACTCAAAGCGACAGGGAAAGTGACAGCTTTACCTTCATGGTCTTGGCATGGGGACGGGAGAGGTCGTAGCCATTTCGTAGTGAGGGTGAGGTCTGAGTGAGGGGTTCTAAGATTTTCTTTGACAATACAATACAATAACATTCGTCAACGGAGATTTCACTGGTATACTTTATTATTTTTTAAATCAACTAGGAATGTATTTCAGACCAACACCTACACACATTGTAATGCATGACGAATATATGTACCAATGGACCTGGATATCTTCTCACATGGCAACAACGTTTCTGTGAATAAAGAACGAATACACGTGAAGTTGGACATAAACACATGACACTAATCTACTCATGCAAATACCTATCTATGAATACCTATCACTAGACATTAACGGTGTATTGATATTAAACGCATGTTTGTATTTTTTTCTATTATTTATCAAATTTATCAAATTTTGAATAACAGCTGCAGCCTGTTGGTTTTCATCAAGTTCCCTAATTACGTCTGGAGGTTACCTAATATGATAATATTTATCAATATTTATAAATATTTATAAATATTTATAAATATTTATAAATATTTATAACAAATTTTGAGTACGGGCCTGTTGGTACCAACAGCCATACTTCGCGGCGTTAGGTCAAAATCAGGTAAATTCATCTGCAAAATGGCCAATGGGCGTTTTTTTACATGCTTTTTGCTTGTGAACATCGTCACCTTCAGACGTCTTAACCGCGTCTCTGGAGTGGTGGCGTACCTAAATCAGACACGCTATTTTGTCCTCTGTTGTATGTTAATTTACTTACATATTTATACAGGAGTGGCGCATTCATAACTGCAACCATTGAAGCAACATTTCTGGTTGCCCTTACAGCCATAGTCATCTTGACATTGTTCCCAGCATGTGCCTAATCCAGACGTGGGTGGTATAGGACAGATACCAGATTTTCCGCCTGAAATCAATAATTACGAATGCAGTGTTCATTTTAGGAGGTCTTAAAACGGGGGCGTCGTCAACTGCGCATGTGGCCATAGCGTGTCATTGTTTCCAAAAAGCGTCTACCCATGAGCCTTTGCGTTTTTAGCATACTTTGTTATCGTCGTCTGGGACACAATTCCCGCGCGTGCGCAGGTGACGACCCCTCCGCTTTAAGTGACTACAACAAATGAAAATATATCGCGATACTCACGCGAGAAAATGGGTTTCATGTTGTATTCCAGCACTAAATGCATTAAATCCAATACAAAATCGATGAAAATATTTAAAATTGCAATATATGAAACATGCATAAGGTATTTTATCATGATTTAAAAAAAAACACACACAAAAAAAAACACACACAACTACCACGGTATATTGTTACATTTTCTCATTGTCACAAGTCGACATCCAACCCAAAGCTAATCAGCGACGGCCTTATAGCTGAATGACATTTTCGGTTTCAGATGACCCAGTGAAAGTGTTATGGGAAGGAATTTCCCACAGCAGACACGTCGACTATGGTTGAATGTTTTTTGGCGAGTGGCTTAAAATTATCCCAACGAGTTGTTTGGCTGGATTCAGAAAGGTTCATGACTCGTACTGTTTTGTAAGAATGAGAAACAAGCATGAGTCCAGCAAGATTCAAGGTAGCCGCTGTTAGTTGCATTGATGTTATTATATTATCACGTGGACGTCAGCTGACCATGTATCAGCCAATAACGATTCATCTGGGATTCGTCGTCATGACTAAGTCCAGACATAATGATAGACCAAAAATCACATCACTACACATACAGTGATGACGCCAGGAATACCGTATACCGTGATAATTGCAGCTTCAACTTACACAGCCTTGAATGATTGGATGATAGGATTCTACATTCTCAAAAATATGTACTGCATGTCCCTAACTTGACTTTCTAGTTCGATGTTTACGTAGAACCTACTTGACCTAACAAAACTACATGGCCGACATTCTAAATTCATCCATTTGTCTTTGAGCCAACAGCATACACCTGATATACGAGTCACTCCAATTGACCGGCACATGCCTTAGATTTTACAATAAATGGACTCCTGATTTGCTCGGCGCATAAGCTTTCAGAAAATATATAACATGTTGGATATATAATACCATCTTCATTGTCTAATTACTCAATTAAAAAGCAAGCCAAATAAACTGCATCTCTACCTTAAGTAAGGTACTCACCTGTCGTTTGCGGCTCACAATCTATCAAGGCGCCTTTGGGGTTATAAAACTCAGCATGACAACCACCACAATAGTTTGGTCGACATACGGCCTCGGAGTCTGCCTCACACGATTCTTCGTCGCACGGGTCTACATTGCAGTCGACTGGAGCGCTTTCATCCGGGCAACCTGCGTGTGCAAAACACGTGATTTACTTGGATCAATGACCAAGCTTACCAAAATGCCTCACTAAAATTGAAAGGCCGAGAATAGAATAGCGAGACTGTTTTTGTGCGCCATTGGACCGCTTTTCTCACAAGCGTTCGAGTGCTCAGTGGTTCCCGGCGCAAGCTGTAAACGACTCACAGGGCGCCGCTAAACTGAACAACAGCTAACGAACAGTTCGATACAGTTAAAACGGTTTGGGTTAATTAAAAAAAAAATGGGATAATTTAGCGCAATGTAGCAGCGAAGTAAATATGGAACCCACTGAACGCAAATGACAATTTCATCATTTGATTCGCCACCACTACCAACGAACCAACCAATTACATTCTTCGTACCATCAATTGAAATGAATGAACCATTCACGATTTTTATACGAAACCAATCTTCGCTGCTTCCGATAGCCGATAATATAGGAATCATTGCGTTAAGAGTCTATTCATGATTGATGCCCGGTTAGACTCGGAGAAATTCCAGTCGTGGAAATTTGCATATGATAATCCGTGTAAAGATTGCCTCAGAATTAAAGTTAAAATTAAAGTAAAATTCGATTCACTAAATTTAAACATTTTCGTAACTCAATTTTCGTAACTTGATGTTCCTAACTCGAACAAATCAGCATCTCTCGCTCGAAAGTATTACAGTGCGCCAATGTATTAATCACCAGTGTACATGATGCAAAATGCATGCAAAAACACACGCTATTTTGACCTCGGTAGTATCATTTTTTTATAAATGATTCGCCATGATTTGTGTTGAATCTCAAAAATATAACGTTAACCAGCTGTCAGCAGAATTTTATGATTCACCGTAGACAGAGGGGAATTTTGCTACCTAGCGATAAGCGTAAATAAAACACTCGAGATATGGTTGTCCATGTGCAAAACCGCGTTGTATTCTCCCTTTCATTCTGTAACAACCCATTTAGGGGCTTAATAATCGCACACAAAGATGCGCAAATTTTATAAAAGGGTAATTTAACGATACTCGTTAAAAGATTTTTTTTAAAACAAGCGCATCACGTGTACCACAATTTAAATGGTTCCTTTCTTCCACGGTCAATTGTATTTTAACCATGTAGTACTTAAAACACAAGTGTAAATCGATTCTTTTGTAACACGATTTTTACGGTGAGTGGTTAGCAGCGTAGTTTCCCTGGTCTACCAGCGAAGTAGACTATGTGTTTGACGTTTACCGTACCTGTATCTCGTACATAATGACGTCATGCATTTTCATTTTTGTTAATTAATAACCACACATGACCTCCAATACAGTTTGTATGTACCATGTCTCGCATTACTAGTATCCTTAAAGTATACGATTATGAACTGGCATTTTACACTTATTACCAATAACTCGCTTAATCAATTGAAAAAAAAAAAACAAAAAAATAAAAAAAAAACAAAAAAACAAAACAAAAAAAAAACAGAAAAATAATTAATACACGATTTACCTGATATTTTTCACAAAAAAATCTATTTTTTAGGACATTTCTATAAAACACAATGTTCAAGAAAAGTGTATTTTTGTTACTTTTCAAACACCATGTATCATTTGTGGCAATTCGAAGCAATTAGTTATTCTTACCTGTCGAAAATTGGCAGACAAATCTGAATTTTCTGCTACACTTCTCAAAGTACCAAGGGAATCCGCTGTCCAGCGTCACCCGGGAACCTGATCTGAAATTTGAAAAAAAAAAATCACATTATATCGCGCTTTCATCTATGCACAAACGATAAACTTTTACTGGTTCTTCTCAATGTCCTACAGCAGTCAACGTGTCGCGTACTATTTTGGTACTGTAATAGCTCCATGCGACCGAGACGATATCGATACGGGCGGGACCCCTCAGGCTGAACACGGATGTTGCTCAATATTTCATGTATATCCGGTTATGAATATTCATGAGTTTGACAATTTGTAATGAAAGTTATACCTGTATTTTGCATAAATCTTAGTTTAATGAGTATGTGTTTTATATACCAAACCCAATAACATAAACTGTGTTATAGACGGCTGTACACATTTTACAGTTTCAGGCACTGACTGCATGAAATGTGGGCTCTACCACCACCCTTAAATTCGCAGAAACTATAAATTTTCACCTTTTAATTTATTCAAAAAAATTGAACCCGGAGAAAACAATTGAACGCTGGAAACAATAAAGGAACAAAATAACAAACAAACAAATACAAAATAAAAATAACTATTAATTTATCAATAGAAAAAAATCAACCAATCAGTCAATACTATGAGGTTATTACGAGGATACCTCAAAGTATGCACGAAGACAGTACAAAGGGAGTATCTACCGACGCGAAGCGGAAGTCGATGCGACAGCGTACTGTCTGAGTGCATACTTTGAGGTATTCTCGTAATAACCCTATTATTATACATCTTTTCCTTCCAAGGATACACCATGGGAATGCCGAAATCCAAAAGTTTAGAACAGAATCAGCGAACTTCTTTGTGCGGAGTCCGGTTAACTTCTGGTGGCAGCAATGTTTCAGTGTTTTTATCATTTTGAATTCATATTTCCTAATATGGTAGGATGAAAATACCCCGTGAAATACCGCAAAACTATGGTAAGCTGTAACTTATGGCGTTACGATGACAGATGTATAATAATATGAGGTTATTACGAGAATATCTCTAAGTATGCACGAAGACAGTACAGCTGGAGAAGTGACCTACGCGCAGGTGAGGTATTCTCGTAATAACCTTATTATTATACATCTTTTCCTTCCAAGGATACATAATGGGAATGCCGAAATCCCCAAAATTTAGAACAGAATCAGCGAACTTCTTTGTATGGAGTCCAGTCAAACTTTGATGGCAGCCATGTTTATTTTTATTATTAGTAGAGAACGCTTATGCGCGTAATCATTCCATATTTGGAATTCGCATTTTCTTATATGGTAGGATGAAAATACCCCGTAAAATACCGCAAAATTATGACGTTACAATGACACATGTACAATAATACGTTATACTTACTTGATAAAACCACAGTCTTTAGAGTCACTATTGCCGTAGGGGTTGGGCAAATTCAGATCACTGGTCTCACTGCCATCAGACCAAGTCATCACTCCTTCCACGTCTTTATCACTTAGACCAATCCAAACAGTGCTAGAAATTCCATTGTTAATCAGTATATCCGCCAAGCGTACATTCGCCGCTCGGCTATCAGGCTGTGCCAACTTACCACCGGACAACTCGCAATACGTTTTGGCGTCTCCCCAGGATTTTTTCCTATTCACGACAAGGTAGGTCGCAAAATCGCCGTAAAAGGGACCTTTATCATCGATAAGGGAGAATATAGTAAAAATTAGTAGAACAACATGTCACAATATTTAGAAATATGTGATGGTAATGGTTTTAATGAAACACGCGGAGATGCAACGGACATGTGAGGGAATGCAATTCGGGTTCCGTCCCGTGCAACGACGAACCCGTCTTCAGAGGAGACACTGCGCATTCATCACGGAAGCGTCATCGCGGTAGGGCGCGACTTATATCGTCAAAATACTTTACTGACAATTCTCAGATTCAATTATAAACATTTAGAAGTAACAAAACCCAATATAATACTGCCAATATTCGAGTATATTTAAATACACATTCACGATAACAACCAGACACTATATACGATGTCATTCATTGTAATAGCAATACATGGGGGCGGAGCTACGTCACAAGACGTTCCACGTTGCTACGACGCGCACCACTGTACATGTATTTCTATGGGCTCTGTGTGCGCTGCTGTGGAACGCCGGACGAGCCGGTGAAAATTCGAGAAAACAACACAAACTCAACTTTGAAGTAATCCTGAACAACCAAATTTACATATGTTACACACATAGGGCTAATCGTGTTACACTGTTCAGGGGGGTCTCAACAACCATCCCAAAAGTACCGTTTTCTGCGAGTTTTTGGCCTTTGTTTTCACCGCGGGGGTTGCCAAGCGGTGAAAAACGCCCGGATGTCCGCCCCCGAGGATACATGTAAAGAATGCTTTCAGTCTTATGTCTTATGCAATATTTTAACATGTAAATTAATGCGTCCTCTCAGTAGTGATACGTCATCGCTGTGACGCGCCGTGGAAATGAGGCGTCGTGAAATATTTCAGTCCCTGTAACCAATGATAAACAACCATCATTAGATTCTTGACAAAATGACCGCCGCTCTGAGTGGAATTTAAAAACCACGGCGAAATGTTAAGTTCAGTATTCTTAGTTTTAAACACTGCAGTGGTTAATACTGAATTTTTTGATACATTGTTGCTACGTTTCTTGTTTGAATGGATTCTACATTGATCACCTTCACAGAATGACACATACCGTCACGTGTTCACCCACCACCACTGAGAGTGCGCAGAGTGACGAACAATATCACGTGTTCATACCTTGTTCGATCGGAATCTTATTTGCTCTTATTTCTCTAATCTGAAAAAAATAATTATACACACAAAGTATATTTTATAGAGGCTTTTTAAAGAAAATTCATTTTTGCGAAAGATTACAACCGGGAAATGAATATAAAAAAAAATGTCAAGTTATGTGGGTCAGTTCAACACCACGTGCATGGTATGCAAATTATTGTACTCTCGCACACTGCTGTCATACGGAACAAGAACCAAAGCTGCGCCACTGTTTTAGAGTCATACATAGCTCGTACATACAAAATTATGTCTGATTGGTTACCCAACCATATCACCTAACAATCAGACCAATCAAGGGACAACTTGTTTGTTAGCTGTTTTTTATTAGACCCATCGTATTCTGTCTAGTATATATGCTTCGACTCAACAGTTTGACCTCGGCAAATGACACACTGTAACCCTTGCCCCGAGAACTGACACGCTGTTGCCATGGCAGCTGACAGACTGATACTGTAGCCCGGAATAAGAACGTGGCGTATATTTTACTCACATTTGATACAGCAAAGCTTCGTTGACATGACAGTGCCATGGACAGCATTAACACACAGACTAGTTGCATCTTCGTCATGATTGCGACAATATGTC